TGGTGAAGAAAAGGATAGCTCATCAGAATTCAAAGACTTACTTTGAAGAACCATGTGGTAAAATGCAGAAGAAAAATAATATTGATTGATTTGTTTTTTTTACATTTTATCACCTGTTTGTGGCTTATTTAAAGACCCATTTTATCACCTGTTTGTGGCTTATTTAAAGACCCATTTTATCACCTGTTTGTGGCTTATTTAAAGACCCATTTTATCACCTGTCTGTGGCTTATTTAAAGACCCATTTTATCACCTGTTTGTGGCTTATTTAAAGACCCATTTTATCACCTGTTTGTGGCTTATTTAAAGACCCATTTTATCACCTGCCTGTGGCTTATTTAAAGACCAAACACATTTTGGGTTGTAAGAATAATTCTTTTTCTTTTCTTTTTTTTTTGCACACAAATATTGCATTAACAATTTTTAGAGAAAGACAATGATTTCTCCGGAATTCCTACTATTTAACCCATAGCAGGAGAAAAGATGGATTCATATTTTTTTCATGAGTTTTTGCGCATATGTGAATATCACGAACCCAACTGAAATCTGAGCTTGACTCCCTGATTTCTCATTCCAACCCAAGATCTGAGAAATAATGGTAAGAAGGAACATTTCTAAAAAGCCTACAAAAAACAATGGAAAAACTAAAAATTAGGGAAATGTTGGGACCATCTAGGTGAAAACGTTACTGAAAACAGTAAGGTAATGTGAAGACTTGCTATCACTTTATCTTGGGTGTAAGCCACCCATTACTATTGCAATAAAAAAATTCAATGTATGACTGTAATAATAATAATTATAACTAGTTTTAGCTTGCGAAAATTTCATGGTTTTCCTACTTGAAATTTTTGCTGAATCTTAATTCTTCAGTTAATGATTAAATAAGCTGATGGCTTTTGTCCTATGACAATTAACTATCCATAGAAATTCCCCTGCCATATTGTTAATTATTAGAGCTTAAAAACTTTAACAAAATATTGCAATAACAATCATAAATATGAATGTTGGTTGTTATTTTAAGTCGTAAGGTTGTTCAAAAGAAAATATTTTAAATTGACAACTTTTTCATTTCACTGAAAAAGACATTAAACACATAAGAATGTTATTGCCTTTTCGATCTTCTTTCTTTTTATCACTGACATCAAACAGCATCTCTGATATGTCATTTCTGTCTTTCCTCATGGTCAAAACAGAATATTCCATTATTTACAAGGTATTAGCAGAGTGTTGCTTTCTTTCTTTCACTGAAAACTAGCAATGTCTTTAATATGTCTTTTGTCTTCTCACACAATCAGAATATTATTTATGAGGTATTAGCAGGAGACATTAAACACTTCTATCTTTCTTTCTTTTTTACACTAAAACCAAGTAGGATCTCTGATATATCTTTTGTCTTTCCACATGACCAAAATGGAATAGTCCATTATCTATGAGGCATTGGCAGGGCATAACGGTTGTGCAAATGAACAAAGAGAGAGCCAAGCACAATTTTTATATGATAATAATGTTTCACAAGATATGACTTCCTTGATTAAATAGAAAAAAAGATGTCATCCTTAAAATTGGTCAAACCAAATATCACAGCCATTGACTAAGAAACAAGAAAATGCCTACTCAGAGACATGGCTTTCCCTGTTAACTATAATATCAAGTTCAAAGAAATTGAAAAGCTCAAGAAATACATTGACCTCCCAATTGATGTTGCCAGAATGTGGTACATTCAGGCCACTATGGCCTCAGTTATCATTGTCCAATGCAGGCACAACATCCAGATCGAGTTGCCATAAATAACAGGAGATCTTATCAATGGATTTCTCTATTCCATAAAATCACAGAATAAAATTGAAACAAATTTAAAAGCTTGCCAAATATCTAGAACACACAAGAGAACTTAAATAAACATAGTATCTAAAAATGACAGTTGCATGCATTATAGATTATTTTAACTATAGTTCACCCAATATAAGGCACATGAGCACCTCAAAGTAGAGAATTATTAAACGAGGAGTTTGATAAGAACATAAGAGGATAAATTGTTTTTTATGGCTTATCAACTCTTTGTGGGTTATTTAAGATCGAAAGATTTTGGATTTGCACAAATAATTCTTCTTTTTTTTTTCACGATTGAATATTGCATTAACAATGTTTTGTGAATAACAATGATTTTTTTCCAATACAAATCTTACTATTTAGCCAAGCTGAGGATGAAAATGGATTCATACCTTCCCCAATGGTATTCGAATATAAATGAATGCAACAACCCCACCTAGAATTCAAACTCAGGCACACGTAAGAGGGGGAACTAGAAAATAAAGATTATGAGGATATGGTGGATAGATAACTCTTGGTCCAACATTTAAAGGGATTAAGATTGTCATGTCTGGGAAGCACCCACATAGGAATCTGTTCTATGAAGTAGTGATTTTTGGAAAGTATCTTTGTCAGTGGAACATCCTTCTTACCAAATAAATACATAGGTAATGAAGGTGATTCAATCATGTAGATGTAGCAAGTTGGATTTTTGTTGTAAAGGTTTAAGTTGGTGGCACTAAAGAATGGAGCTCATCTGAACATTTGCCATGGAAATAGCAATAGAGTAGCAAAAGGCTTGCAATGTTGCATCTATGGGAAAGAGGCTGCAGATTGGAGAATATGGCTTCCCTTCACAAGACTGTGTAAATATCCGAGCTGTAAAGGTCTGAACTATTGGAATTAAAAAATGGAGCTCATCTGAACATTTGCTATGGAAATAGCAATATAGTAACAGTTTTTTTTGCAATGTTGCATCTCTATGGGGAAAAAGACAGGAGAATATGTTTTCTCTAAAAAACTGTGTAAATGTCTGAACTGGTGGAACTAAAGAATGGAGCTCATCTGAACATTTGCCATGGAAATAGCAATAGAGTAGCAAAAGGCTTGCAATGTTGCCTCTATAGGAAAGAGGCTGCAGATTGCAGAATATGGCTTCTCTCACAAGACTGTGTAAATGTCCTAGCTGTAAAGGTCTGAACTGGTGGAACTAAACATTTGACAAGGAAATAGCAATGGATAATGATGTGAAATTGTTAAACAGAGAGAAACGAGTTCCAATTCCAGTTGGATTCATAATATTCACTTATGCACAAATACTCTTGGGAAAGGCATGAAACCACAACTTCTCATCCAGCTATGTGTTAATTAGTAAGACTTGTATCATTAAATCATTACTATCTTCAAAAAATTTTTTTTAATCTAAAAAATATTTTCTGCTTTAAATAATCTGCAAAGGGTTGATAAACTGTAAAAAATCAATCAATGAAAACAAGTAGAATACTAAGGATATTGCCTGTGTTTTGTAAATATTTGCTGCCATTTGATCTCTAGTGTAAACCATCATTACTACTCATGCAAACTCTATCAAGGCTAGAAAGTGAAAATTGTGTAGTTCCAGTTTAGGCATGGCAGTAATACTGCATATTTGGTTTAATCTCTTATAAAGAATATAGCAAAAAGAGTCATGTACATTCTAGAGCTGTACAAAGACCTGGGTTTACAGCCATATCACATTGAAACACCAGTCTCTGTATAATCACCAAAGTTAAGCAACATCAAGACTGTCAATACCTACATGGATGACTACTTGGGAATACCAGGTACTGAAAGTTTGGATATGCAGGGGTTGTTATGGATAATGTCTTGAAATTGATAAGCAGAGAGCTGAGTTCCAATTCCAGTTGAGTTTGTTATTTTCACTTACACACAAATACTCTTGAGAAAGGCATGAATCTACCTCTTCTCCCTCCATCTATGGGTTAATTAGTAAGACTTGTATTACTAAAATCATTATTATCTCCAAAATAAATAAAACTGTGTACAAAATATTTAGATTTCAGCATTAAATAATCAATAGAGTTACTGATATGCCACTAAACAAAAACAACCAACCAATAAAGAGATGGGAATATTCCCAGAAAAATAAAACAGATTATTGCTGCAATTGCTTAGGAATGTAATTCGCTCATTCTCTTCTTCATCAACAATTGTGACATGTCAGTGATGAGAAAGTTTTGTTAAGCTATCTGGTGAAAAGAGAAAGCATTAATGAAAAAAACTTGTACCTTTCTTTAAAAGTATTTCTGTCCAAATGTATGACAATGGGAAAGAACAAAGGGAAATGAAGATTCATGCCTTTTTCCAAAGGTGTTAGCAGACAGTGAACAGAAATGGAATCTGAACCACAACCTCCCTTCGCAGTATGTCCATAGAATTTTATTCCTGTATTTAAATTTGTTTGCCAGTAGTGATTCAAATAGCCTAGAATTGAATCCAAGCAAATTCTCCCACCCCACTACCATCACTCATACTCAGCACTACCACTCATACTCAGCACTACCACTCATACTTCAGTGCTGGCCTGTCTCCAGGCTGTTCCATCTGCTACACATAAATTGTCAACTCCAGATTACTTTGCTGAAATAATTCATTGATTTTATGGAAGGCTTGCCAGACAGTAATTAACATTCAACCAAATGGGTTTGGAAGAGGCAGTGAAATGATTGGTGGAAGGAAACAGTGAGAAAAGATATTAGCATTGATAATGATGATGAAGAAAAAGAAAGAGGGGGACAAATGATAGACAAGGCAAAAGGCAAAGAAAGATTAAGAACAGAAGGAAGAACAATGGGAATAACAGAAGAATAAAAAGAAATGTTAAAAGACGTAAAATGAAGAAGATCGATAACCAAAGACAAATATTTAAATAAAACCAAGATGAAGGATGAACAATAAAAAGAAGAATATTTCCAGGAGATCTTCAAAAATGCTTAAATGCAACACCAATCGCCATCATCTGAAACTTGTTCTTTTATTGTCCTTTCTCCACACGATAGTCTTCTCATTCACTTTCACTCCCAGTAACCCATTGCATCTCAATGGCACTATCACCTTGCTTGGGATGAAAAGGTTAAAAAAATGATATATTTAAAGAGCACAACAAAAGAAGAGGGAGAATATAGGAAAATTTAAAGGAGACAAACAAGAAGAAAGGACAAATGAAAACAGAGGAATGAAGAAGAAGAAGAAGAAGAAGAAGAAGAAGAAGAAGATTTTGTAAATAAAAACAAAAGAAGAAAGGACAAATAAAGAAGAGTAGAAAGGAGAAATGAAGAACAAAGAAGAAGAAGAAAGGACATATGAAAACTGAAGAAGAAGAAGAAGAAGAAGAAAGCCAAAAGAAAACAGAAAAAAAGATGTGATAAATGAAAACAGAAGAAAAAGAAAGAACAAATAAAATAGAAGAAAGGACAAATGAAAACTGACAAAGAACAAGAAGATGAAAAAGAAGAAAGGGTAAATGAAAACAGAGGAAAGAAGAAAGGACAAACGAAAACATAAAAAGAAGAAAGGGCAAAAGAAAACGGGAAAAAAAGATGTGATAAATGAAAACAGAAGTAAGGAAGGCACAAAGAAAATAGAAGAAAGGACAAATGGAAACAGAAGAAGAAGAAGAAGAAGAAGAAGAAGAAGAAGGATACTTGCAGTGATAAAAGAAGAAAAAGGAACAATAAAAGATGTAGAAGACAATTTAAAGGAGAAGAAGTAACAATAAACAAAGAAATGCATGTTTTAAAAAAAGGGGTGTTGGAAAAGAAAAAAAAGAAGAAAAAGATCATTAAAAGGAGAGAAACATGAAGGAATATCGTTATTAATAATAAAAAGAAAAAATGGTTATGCAAAAAAGTGAAATAAAAATGAAAGAAAAAGAAGCAAGAGGAATAGGAAAAAGAGGAAGGGAAATATGAGAAGAAGCAAGACGATAAAGGAAAATATAGAAAGGATAAAGATCCTGATGGGTATTAATAAGCGGAAACAGTAGAAAGATGAAGTAAGACATGATGTGGCTTCCCTCTATCTTTTCTATAAATATTTTCCTGGCAATTTTTCAAATGAATTTTCCTCCTTGGTACCTCAACCATGGGAATTTAAGAATATATTACTAGATTGGCTATTAGGTCTCATTATTTTACTGTTGAAATAGCCAGACATAACCACAAGTTCTATTCTAATAGTTTCTTTTCTTGCATTTCTCACCTGTGGAACTACCTTCTAGGTTCTTTCTTTAAACATCAGTTGCCATTTTCTTTTCTTCCTGAATGTTCTTTTATTGTCCTTTCTCAACATTATAGTCTTCTCATTCTCTTTCACTGGCATTAACCCCCTTGCATCTTAGTGGCATTATTGCCTTACTTTAGGTGAAATGATTAAAAAAAGTAAACTGCATGTAACCTAATTAATGAGCCTGTATAAATGGAAGAACAGGGATTAGGAGAAAATAATCAAGAGATACAAAGGATTAGAAATTGTGAAGAGCCATGATTAGACACATCCTGAAGGGATATGGCACATAAAAGAAGATCTAATTTAAATTCTTCAATTGCTACTAATGAATTCTCTGTTCCAGGCTACCTTCCTTTTTGTCAAAAAGATTCTTGGTTATATATGTATGGCCTTAGTGTTTATAATCAGGAAAATCTCCCAATTGCAAATGAATTACCTCTTGAGTACCCAGATGATTCTTTTATGTGCTTTTGACTTCCATTATTGCACTTTGTTAGCTATCTTTTTTCCTTTATTGCTCTCCTTCTTCTCAGGACTGTAATATATTAAACAAAATTTCTGATAATATAGAAATGGCTCGCTCTCTACATTCAACTGCAAGCATTTTTGTATTTGATGATTTTAATGCACATCATGACAAATAGCTTAAGCATTCTAATGTTACTGATGTTCATGGTATTCAGACTTTCAATTTTTCCATTTGCTCAATCACTCAGTCAATAGTGGATTTCCCTATTTGTTTCCTTAATAAAATCTGATCAACATTCTTCTTTACTTGATTTGTTCCTTACCGACTCTCCTAGCTCTTGTAGAACATTACAACTCTGTCCGCTTGGCAATTCAAATCATGCTGTAGAATCTGTTGATATTTCTTTGAAACATCTATCAGAAAGTAATCTCTAATTCACAAGACTTCGGTTACCAGAATACTGATTGAGATTCAGTTTGTGACTTTATTTGAAATTCTTCTTGGACTGATATTAACATTCGTATTGATAATTATTGTGCCACAGAAGTTTCTTCTTTGGTTTAAAGCCAGCATTTTGTACCTTCTTGTAAATATCAGATGAAAGCACACTCTTTTTGGTTCACACCAACCTGTTCAGCTGTTATCACAGGAATCTCTTTTTCCAGATGTACCAGTGTGATAGTTCTAATCACAACAGATACCTATTTGTGTCTACTTGCAATAATTGTAAGTCTTTGCTGATAGAATGATGCATTGTATAACCTCTAACAAGTTTGGTTACCAACGCCTCTGTAATAGTGTATTAAATAAAAATAAATTTTCTATCCCTACTCACATCACTTAATTTGAGGAATTAACATCTCCTGGTAAAGCAGAATGTTTTGCTCATAAATTCTCTTTAAATTCTACTTTTGACTCTTCGGTAGCATCTTTGTCTGACTTTTCACTTAGAACTGAGTCTCTGTTGAGTGATATGCATATATACAGTGCTGTTCGATAAAAGTGACTCACATGATTTTTTTTTACTAAAAGTACTTTTTGTCTATTGTTTTTGGGGTTAAAATAATTTTTAATCTTACTAATATAAGGAACCCATTCCCGACCACTTAGGAAAAAGTTTATTTACCCTATTGATAATTATAAATTTGGATATAAATGAGAATCAGGAAAAAAATCTGTGCAAAAAAGTGACTCAGATATCACATTCTAATGATTAAACTGGTAAATTTAAAGAACTTTTGACAAAATATTGAAAACTATACACTCAGAACAATATTCTAGAGAATTCTAGAACAGCTTAAATTAAATCTAGAGTATTCCAGAATATTCCAGAAAGCCTAATACAGTATAAAAACAGCTTGAAATAGCCACTGAAGTAACTAACCAGATGAAAGGGTACAAACACGTATCAGAACCACTTAAGGCATCTATTATTGCCCTCTCAAAAGCAGGCAAGTCTACGAGAGAAATTACAGAAATTGCTATAACCTCGCAATCAACTGTCTCTCGTGTGCTTAGGGCACATAATGATGCCACTCCTGCTCCAAGGAAGGAAACAAGGGAACGAAAGAAAAGGATTGATGATAGAACTGGCAGGGTAATCAAGAGAGAACTTGCGGGGAATAGGACTATAACTAGCCAAGAAATTGCAGCCAGTCTAAGCGAAGAGCAAGGTGTTAGTCTTGCCTCTTCAACAGTCTGTCAGAACAAGGTTACAATCTTGTTAGAACAAGGCTACAAATCTTGTACACGAAGGTTTAAGCCCCTAATAAGCAAAGCCAACAAAGCCAAGAGACTTGAATGGGCTCACTATTACAAAAATTTCACCGTAGAAGACTGGAAGAATGTTTTCTTCTTCGATGAAACGAAAAATGTGCTAAATTCAAAGGATAAGGTGTCACTTTTATCGAACAGCACTGTATATGATATATATATGATATGCATATATATTGAGTGATATGCATATAGCTCCAGCCATAGTTTCTGTTATCATCTCAAAACGGCATCCCTACAAAGCATGTGGATATGATGGTATCTCTGTAATAGTCTTTAAGAAATGTACTGTTGAACTGGCTTCTGTTCTCTTCAAACTCTACAATAAATACCTTGCTGCTTCTTTCTTCTTTGCTTGTTGCAAATCTTCTTCTGTAGTTCCGGTCTTTAAGAACTCAGGCTAACCATCTGATCATTCTATCAGCCTTATACCTCTTTTTGGCATAGTACTTGACATGTCCCAGAAAGGGATATATTTGTTTGAAGTAGAAAAGTGGTCTTGGACTACTGTAACCGACTCGGACAATCTAGCAGGTAACCGTAATGGACTGGTCCTCATAGTGGTAGGCAATAGGCATAGGTAATAGGCATAGGCAATAGGCAAAAACTATAAGCATAGCCAATAGGCGTCCTTGTACCTCCACATCAGTCTGTATTTATGGCTGACACCAGCCAATCATATTACTGTGAGGGGGAACCCAGGTGTATGCATATTCATTACATCGGTACTTAACTCTGAATTAGTTAAACATCTTACCTTGCAGGGTCTATTTTCAGACAAGCAATATGGCTTTCAATTCTCTAAGTCAACTGCTGATGTATTAACTATTATTGCTAAAAGAGTCTATATCAAGCTTTAGATAAGCTCGGGCTGTTGCTTTTGATCTCTCAAATGCATTTGACAGAGTTTGGCATACTGGTCTTTTTCCCACGTTGAAAGGTTATGGTATTTCTGGTTATGGCACTCATGCTATATATTTAGAGATTCTTGACAAAATCCAAAGAAGAATCTGCAATGTTACTGATCCTGATCTGACATCCTAGCATCAGTCACTTTCCCATCATTTCCCTGTCTTTTCTATAAATACTTTCATGATAATTGTTCTGATAAACTTTCTTCTATGGTACCTATACATTATAAATTTAAGCACAGTACTAGATTGGCAGTAAGGTCTCATCATTTTATGGTTCAAATAGCTAGATGTAACTGTGACTTCTATGCTAACAGTTTCTTCTTTAGCACTTCTTGTTTGTAAAACCCTCTTCCAGATTCTTGCTTTCCAGCCAACTTTGATCTTCAAAAATTTAAATGCAATATCAATTGTTATCTTCTGTCTTCTTAATTCTTGTTATTTTATTGTCCTCTCTCCTTAATAGTAGTTTTTTCTCATATTCTCTAACATTCTGTAACTCCTTGCTTCCTAGTGTCTTTATTGCCTTTGATCTTCAAAAATTTAGATGCAATGTCATTTGTTATCTTCTGTCTTCTTAAATCTTGTTCTTTTAATGTTCCTCTCTCCTTAATAGTATTTTTTTTTTAATATTTTCTAACACTCAGTAACTCCTTAAATTTTAGTGGTTTTAATTACCTTGCTTGCGGTGAAATGATAAATGAAAAAAAAGATTTTTTAAATGAGCTACTGTCCTTGTTCTCCTGCTAATATTAGAAACTCTGGATTTTATAAGCATAAAAATTAACTGACCAAAGTGTATAGGTGATTAAAAAAACTTTCTTTTAATATTTGCCATATTTTCCAGCTTACAAGACACTGTGGCTTGGAAGACGCACTCTGTTATTGGAAAGAAATTTCTAAGAAAAAAAGTCATTCTCATACAACAACACCTTCACCATGTGTCCTTCATATATTAGTGCCATGTATTGTTTACATTAATAACTCATCCAATTTTGTTTGTATGGCCGTGACATACTAGTCAATAGCAGATAGACTCCCACTGTTGGTGGTAAATAGAGTATGTTTAAGCTTGTGGCTCAGCTCCAGGAAGGTTTATAGTCTTGTAACAGCTAAGTACTGAGGTAACATCATATAAAAGTCTGAATTAGATAGATAGCTAACATTATAGTTTAACATACAAATCCACGTCTCTCTCAGTCAAGTCAATTAGGTGACCATCCAAGTTTACTTGAACCTGGGTTTTGCCTTACATTCACCTTAGAAGATGCACACATATTTTTCAGGGTATTTTTTAGGAAAAAAAGTGCATCTTGTAAGCCAGAAAATACAGTCCTCAATCTTGACATTAATCTGTGATGTTTATCATAGCTAATAGAAGAAGCAACTGTTTTTATTAAAT